TTCACAACCAGCTGCAACTTCCTGTATTGGACATATTGGGGCATTTTATTTTAGAAACCAAGAATTGAATTCCTGCTAACTTATGGCTGATTTTATCCTGTTTATCACACTGTAAAGGTGGTCTTGCTTCTTGCCTATATTCTCCCTCATCCTAAGCCCGTTTCTCATCTACCCCCGGTCCTATTTATGTGGAGACACTGAGTTAAACCATAAGCACTATAAGAATTGGATGAGCCAAGCCCATTTTGCTGTACCAAAAACAATGGTATCAATGATACTAGTAAATATTTAATCTCAGGACATCAATTCTGGCTGGTCTGAAGACATGTTCTGGGGAGCAAACCCCTTATAAGAGGATCTATAGAGAGTCCCAAGGATGAATTGCTGTCTGTATCTTAGAGTTATATTTGCATTTTGGCATATTGATTCAAGACAAACGTGAGATTCCCAGGGCACATCGCTGCTATTCTTTTCTTCCACATCCTTTTCTTCCTAGTCTCTCTGCTTCTAATGAGCAAGTTAAGAGGCACCTTGTTTCATGATTTTGTACTCAACTCCCAAGCCGCCTCCGCTTCAACTTTCCTAGTTTACCACTTTATCTCTTATGTATACTTCCAGCACCTCATGAGATTCTGTTCCCCACTCATTCCTACGTTCATTTAATTAGCATTTATTGAGTGCACTTTGGACTCTTTGCACTTTGCAGAATTCAAGCGGGACAAAGCATGTGTCTTGCACTGCACAAGCTCAACTAGAGCACAGAGAGATGAGTAAGCAAGTGATTATCACACCATACTACACCCAGCACTACTGTTCCTAGCCTTGGTCTGCTCTTACCTCCCGGACCCCCCAGTAGAGATTGTACCTTTGCTGCAGCATTTAGCCCACTACCCTAGACATTGGCTAACTCTCTGTGGCCGGATCTAACAAAAAAAACCCTGATATTTAATAGGGGGGACGTAGTTCTGTTTCTGGTGCAAATTGCAAATGACTCAAGATTTGCCTTTTGTGGACATGCAGAAGATACTGGTTAGAGCAGAAATTAAAAACTTAGGTGTGTGTAGGAGGCCGGAGGGAGCAACAGAGAGAGGCAGGGTCATTATGGAGTGCTGGGGACTGCGGCGTATTGGAGAGCACATGTCCCACCCACAGGGGTAAGGGCATCGAGCTCCCTTCCTTTTAGCCATACAGAATGTGGCTTCCGTGTGGCCATTATGATTGCTTTCTCAAGGAAAGCTGAAAGGCTAGTTTTTATATGAAATCCAGTATCGAATTCTGGATTTATAAACATGCTGTACTGCCTAATGCTCCTTGCTGGGCTTCTGGCCTCCACTTCCCTGAGATTTAATTTCCACTTTTGGCCTTCCTCCTAAAGGCCATTTGACCGTGAGCAAGTTGCCCCTCTTTGGACTTCAGTTTGTCATCTGTAAGAGAAGGGCAGGCCTGAATATGATAATCCATTGTTGTGGCACTATTTACATACAATTACTTTGTTGACATCACTCTGTCCCTCCCCTCCCGACCAATGAGTAAAGGCTGGGTTTGGATCAAAGAGTTTCTTAAAACGAGGTTTCTATAAAGCAGTGTAGAATCAATCATCTTAGATATGGATTTGGAAGTTATGAAAGAGGACTCAGCGATCTCCTGGTCCACCCTGCTAGGTTAAGCACAAGGCCGTGTAGATTTTATTGACTTTCCTGCATAAGAAAGCTTCTCTCTCTTTATACCTAGTTGGTAAATGATATTGTAGTACTTAGGAAGACATAATTCACCATTACTGTGGACTATTTCTTTGCTTCTACCAACAGGATCAGGTCATTAAAGCAATTAAGATCCATGATCCCATGAACCTCAGAGTCCCAAAATAGAGTGGCCAATTGCTTATAGGGTATCAGCATATTGGCCTCTTCATGATTTGTGCTAAGAGCAGCCTTCTCCTTGAGGTTTTGGCATTTAGCTGTTATTTACATTAGAAAGTGGTTGCCTAATCTGGTAATTTGGTTCAACAAATATTGCATAAGCCATCTGATATTTTAAACAATTTAAGCTCCAGAAGTAACAGCCCCATCAAGAGTGCATGTTAGCAGTACTCTATGGGACATAAATTAAGAAAAGCATTTTTCCAGCTGTAGTTGGATACCTGGATTGGTGTTTCAGCAAACTGCATAATCAGCACAAAGCCCCAGGTCATTAGAGTCTGCTAGCAGGAATCAGCAAACCTGCAAATCACCGGAAGAGCCCAAATGTGCCTAGATGAAGTAGTCCTTTGAAATCTGTCTGTTGAAAGCAATATGAAGACCATGACCTCACATGTAGGAATGAGCAATTGGTCTTCTTTCCACTGGAGAGCATGAGGCCTTCATCAACCCCTTACCAGCAAGCAACACAGCCACAAAGTCTCACACATGTGATTATGTCGCTTCTCTATTTGAAACCAGCCCAAAACCTCCCATTTCACTTAGAATAAGTGACAGACCAGCAGACTCATTACTGTAGCCAGCAGTCTTCACAGACTAGCCCCTGCCTAGCTCCCTGACCTAATCACTGTCACTTAGGACATTGCTCACCCTGCTGCAGTCTAGTTGCCTTCGTTGCTAAACTTCAGACACCATAAGTTCCTTCCTGCCTCCGGACCCTTGCACTTACTGCTTCCATTCCCTGGAAAGATTTTTCTCCAGATCCTCTCGTTGCCTGCCTCTTCTCATCACCTCCAGGGCTCAGTGTTCTAGCTTCATTTTCTCAGAATGGTCCTCCTGGACCACTGCAGATAACACATCTTCCTAGTTGCTCTTTGTGTGGTTGGTTGTTCTTGTTTTTTTTTTTTTTTTTAATTTTTGTTGGAGGGTAGTTGACACACAGTGTTACATTAGTTTCAGGTGTACAACATTGTGGTTCGACAATTCTGTGTGTTGTGCTATGTTCACCACAGGTAGAACTACCACCTGTCACCACACAACGCTATGACGATAATCCTTATGCTGTGCCTTTCACCCCCTGACTCATTCAGTCCATAACAGAAAGCCTGCACCTCCCACTCCCCTTCACCCATTTTGCCCAGCCCCCCACCCCCTCCCCTCTGGCAACACCAGTTGGTTCTCTGTATTTTCCGGTCTTCCCACTTACTCCTTGTCCTCTTAGGTTGTTTGCTTTCTACACAGTGCTTTTCCTCATCTGGAAAGTATTATCACTTGTATATTTGCTTATTATCTATTTCTCCCAGTATGAAATAGGCGTCCCTGGGGCTAAAGGCATATATCCTGCCAGGTATGAGGTGGGGACCTTGGGTAAGTTAACGTGGGGATTCTGAACCTGAGTTTCATCACCTGTGATCTAGAGATGCCTTCTCTCTCAGGGATATTGTAGGGATGAGAGAGCACCAAGAATGGCCCTGACTTGTGACCCAGCACACCCCCAGCCCCTTACAGGGCTTCAGCTCAGTAACTATCGACTCACTTCTCAATCTATCCATCAGCCAATGTTTTATTATCCAGGAAGTCCTTAAAACGTATGCTCATTGTTGATGCTTGTCACATATAATGTATGTAATTCTTTTGCGTGTGCTTTTATTTCTATGAGTATATAAACATATATTTTCACCTAATTGTATTACATTATTTATAAGTTTATATCTATAGGACGTAATTTGTTAATCTTATACCTTGAAATATTCTTCAAAAAGTCGTCTTGAATGCTAAAACTATATTGTACCATACTTTACTTATCCATTGCTTTATTATTGGACATTTAGGTGACTTTTTGTTTTTACTCCGTATAAATATTACCAGCTTGAACATATTCATGCGTGAATGCTTTACTGGATCTTTTATTATTTTCTTAGAACCCCAGTAAGCAGAAATCATTCATTTATTGGGCTCCTTTGTGTCAGTGGTTCCATGGACAGTACTATGGGGAATTCCAAATAAGTCCCAAACTATTTTTTTAAATTTGTTTTTATTTATTTTGAGAAGGATAGAAAGCAAGTGGGGGAGGGGCACAGAGAACGAGAGCGGGAGACAGAATCCCAAGCAGGCTCTGTGCTGTTGAGCCAATGCAGGGCTTGATCTCACGAACCCTGAGATCATGACCTGAGCTGGAGTCTAGAGTCGGAAGCTTAACCCACTGAACCATCTAGGAGCCCCCAAATAGGTCCCAGACTCTTAAAGAAGTCACACTGGTTGAGGAGATAAAGTCCAGACACAGAATGCCATGGGGAGCAACCACAGCGGGTGTGCAGCTGACTTAGGGCTGAAGGCGGTCGTTGCAGACAAGGCGCTGGAGGAGTTCTGGAAACAGAGAGGCAGAGGGTGGCCGTGGCTACAGAGGAGCTGCACAGAAGGTTGGATTTGACGGGAGCCTGGGAGGAAGGCTTGGGAGAAGAGAAGGCATCTGGGGTAGGAATCGCACTGAGGCAGGAACGAGGCAACTTCAAAGCAGGCTGGGCTGCAGCCGAGAGCACCAGGCAGATGAGGTGAGACAGCTTGGATGAGGCCAAGAGGGATGCTGCCACAGTCATGTGCTGGGCGGTTACACGGAGGCTAAGGATTATTACCATCATTCCGAGCACACGGGGGTCTGCTCGGAACAACAATATGAGCCATTTGTACAAAAGACCGAAATGGAATCCAAATAACAGGTCCAGCTGCTCCAAATACCTCCCTCCTCCTGCAGTAACATTTTACTACCCGACCGAGTAACTAATGAATCTGGCCCTGCGTAAATCCCCAGGCACAAATCCCTGCTTGGGGTCTGTGTCTAGACATCCAGACCTGAGTGCAATTTGCACTTTGAACATTCAGCACCTTATCACTTGTGAGAAATCAGGTCTAATGGGGAGGAGGGGGAGGTGTCGCTCCCACCCCCATCCTTTGGCACAGTGACTATGGAATGAGGGTCCCTGGGATAATGAGTGCATCAGGCGATGGGGAGATCATAACAGTGTTGGTTATGTGGCTCTGGTCGTTCGGAAGCACTGACTGGGAGGTTTCTTCATCTCGTTGCAGGCTGTGTTTTGTGAAGCTCAAGCTCCTAATGATAGCCATTGAGTACAAGTCCGCCAACCGCGAGAGCCGGTAAGTTTGCCACAGCCCAGCGGCTGGCTGACATTTATGAGACGTGAGAGTGCACTCAGAGTCTGGATCTCCCCACTTCTTTCTTACATGTTGTTGATGTGCTTGGAACCCTGATGCAACACATCTCTGTCCCTCGGGTGCATTCATGAAGTACCCAACCAGGTACTGCCACTTCCATCCTGTGCCCCAGTGGGCATTCAGAACGTGTTTCTCCAGAGGGGAGTGGTAAGGCATCCAGGTCTCCACTTGATGGTCCCAACTTGCACTTTACCCTCTGTGCACAAAACCAGGGACAGCCCCTGTCCTCAAACCCCTTTTTACTGCTGTGAGCATGAAGCAGGTGGATTCTGGCCTCCTTCACAGTAGGGAAGGGGCAGGGCTGTGATGGGACACGCCAGCTCTCCTGATAGCCAAATTACAAGCAGCCTATTGTGTACCATATGTGCTTTTCCTGGTGCATCCGAAATCCAGGTGGCAGAGTATCAGCTTCATGCAAATTAGCCAGGAGAGCAGGCTCAGAGGCAGGAGCCCTCTTTATTTATTTATTTTGCACTTAATTATGTGCAGATCACACTGATGAGGGACTGGGTCTGGTTGAAATAGATAACACTCCAGTCAATATATGAGTTCACACTGGAAAAAGGAAGCATCCCATTAACAGGGGATTTTGTTGCTGAAGTACTATATGTTTTACAGGTAAAATAGAGTTGAATGTTTTTTGCTCCCCAATTTCTATCAATGGGTTTGGAAGAAAGGGCTCATTGAGAAATGCATGGGCTTTTGTTCTCTGAAATGATATCCAGATTTCTTCCTAGCTATAGTAAGCCAGTCCTCCTGTGGATGGCCACGTGTAGAGTACAGATACCCTCCGACATACGCCTTAATACGTTGAGTGCAGGGTAACCCTAGAAGGTGCCTGGATCACCATCTAAGGAGTTTTCATTATCTGGATGAGTAACTCAATAAAGCCAGACTTCCAAATGTACGGTCTGTCTCCGACAAAGAACAAAGAAAACAAAACAAAGAAATGCTGGATTGTAAGCAAGTCAATCCAGTGTTCGCTATTACTTTAACCACTAGATAAGATTGCTCGCAAAATCAATCTGATCAAAGGCTAAGCTATTTTGAAAATCCAAATCATCCAAGAGGCAGAAAAAAATGATGGATTTGGTGGCCACATGTAGAACACGGCCATAGCAGTTAACAAGTATGTATATATACATTTTTCTTTTTTGTGTTGGCAAAGTGAAGAATATGATGTGCAAACCGCCCCCCCCCCAAAAAAAAAAAAACAGAGTCCTGGCTATTTTCTGTTCAACAGGTAAAGTGGATGGCCTCCCACGTGGAGGTCAATAGTTACCAGTGCCCGTGTAGGGGATACATGTCTCGCGGGTTTTTGCAAATGATATTCTTCATGTTGCCACGTCAGTAAATCTGTGTAATTCAGTCTTCTCTCTTTATCATTTTTGTGCATCTCTCACGAAAGTGTCATGGTGTGGGTGGCACTAATGTCGCATAGTGTTTCTTAACCACTCTGGTATACTTTTGAGGCAGGAGTCCGCACCTTGAACCTTGACCTGTCATCTCCCATCTGCCACATTTTGGTCACAAGGAGGGAGAGGAAAAGCCTGTTAATGGTTCAGTGTGAAGCTGCTGTCACTAAGCAAAATAACGAACGGCTTTCCCTGAAGACAAAATCTTTTCTTCTTGATGCACCCTCCAATTAACTCACCAATCTGAGATGTTTTCAACAAAGCCATATTTATAGATACAGATTTTTAGTTGTTTTTTTCTTTCAGAAAAGAGCAGAAAGAACTTGTTTGGCTTTGTTTTGGCTTTCTGTGTGCAGTTCTCAATTTTAATCCTCACCTGTGGCTTGGTCTCAGTGTGGAAGCACATTGGTTCTTGTGGAAAAAGGTGTGTTTGAGGGAATGTGGATCACGCCTCTGAGAAAACACAGAACATATAGAACGCAACATCCATGTTAAAAAGAATCGAGTTTCCAACCCTTTCTGAGATAAGAATTTTGTTTTTCATTTGAGAATTTCCCATTTCCTTCCTTCTCCCATTCTCCCGGTGGCTGGGTGTGAAAATTCAGAGAACCCAACTTCTTCTCTTCACCCCTTTGCCTCCAGCCTGTGTTGAACTACGTCCTCTGTTGTTTTACCCCCTGACGCTGTTTCCATGCTCTGCTGAAAAACCTTGTTTTCACACGCATCCTTCAAATAATTTGAAACAAAGGTTTTTTTCCTTCTCTCCTTCTGGTGTCAGTCAACTTATTATCAAATTGTTTGATTTTAAATTCTTTTTCTTGTCGTTTTGCAGAAGCCGAAAGCGGTATGCGCTCTTCGTTAACCTTCCTCCCAACCCCCACCCTCTGTCTTCACTGCTAACCACAGGACTAACCATTTGCCAAGAATTCAGGAAGATAGAGATTATATATATGTATACACATACATATAATCTCATTCCCTTGTCTAGTATATATATATATATAAATATACATATACATGTATGTATATTTATATTTAAACCCTCTCCAACTAGAGCACATAAAAATTGGAAGTAGCATATTGCTTTTCTTATTCAGTTTGTTGATTCTTTTGGATGACGCACTAACTTCTTTGCAGGAAACCTAAAAAACCAACAGGTACAATTCCTGTTTTCAGTCATGGCACCAGTGATGGGAACAAGTGTTACCAGTGTTTGAGAAGGAGGACGCTTCTTTCCAGCCCCTGGTGTCTGTTTCTGTCCTGTTCTGATGTGTCTTGGTGTCCACCAGACTGTGGTGCCATTTGTCTGCATCCCATATCCACATTCCCAGTGCCTTCCTCCTCCCCATGTCCAGTTTCCAGTGTGTAGAGCAGGATATGTGTCCTTTTATCCACAAAACAGAGACCAAGCTCTTACACTCAACTTTTTTTCCCCCTTACACGTGTTTTGATGACAGCATGTTGCATATTTTATTTCTTGGGCAGTACTCAATACATAGAACACTGCTACTAAATTGCCAGATTATCACATTCGACTTAGTGAATGAGTACTGTTTACGGAGATGAACTCATGGCTTTATTTTTTCCCCTAGCGTGTTTGGGCATATTTCTTAATGTGAAGTATCTCAGTTTTCACCACGTGACATCACCCCGTTTTGCTGCTGTTTTCTGGTTGCATGAAGCATGACAAATCCTCATCGATAGCATTCTTCTTAAACCTTTCCCGTTACGATTTCCAGTGTAGTTTTTCAATAATGTGTTCTCTAAAACAGTGTTGTTGAAAACATACTATTGAGATGCCCATGTGTTCATTTTCTCAAGAGTTGTTTTTCTCCGTGGTTGGAATCACTGTCACATGTTCGTGTTTGTAATTGTGTGCGTGTATGTATGTGTGTGTGTGATGTGTGTGTATGTGTGGGGAGGGTATTTGTCTGGAACTCTTTCCAAAGTCAGATTCTTCTGTGATTTTTGACGTCGATGTGTGATGATAGAGGTGGCTTCCTGTCAGTTTGGTATTATTGTTATGATCCAACTGCGAGAAGTTACTGCAGCACTTTGCATCTTCAAAGGTCCACAGTGGCTGTACCTCTGCTGTTGGCTTTTGGCCTTTGAGTCCTTTTATCTTGTGGTGGAGGCATGTTGTGACATAGCATGACTTGTCGTAAAGTGTACCGGAAAGTGACACGGCTTGCTCCCAGAACCAAATAGCCACCATTGTCCTTCCCAAATGAATGATCTCTTCCCCATCCCATATGGCTACTGTTTTCCTTATGTACAAAATATATCTTTAAGTGCCATTTCTAAAATCATTGTGATGGGTTCGGGCTAATCGATCACTTGCCCACATCACTGGCAGACCACAATGGCAGCCATTTGAGTCTGACCAACTGGGAGCAATCTTTATTATGCTGTCTCTGTGTGGGTGAACGGGGCTCAAGTATTTGGAAGCATGGAATACACACTGTGTCTCTTCTGTATATTCTATAAGTAGAAGTGTGTGTGTCTAGTTGTGTGGGACTCCAGCAGCATCTATTTGAAAGCCCAGAAGAAATGAAAAACTTCCAGAAAAGCAAGAAGATTTGAGATTTGGGGTTTCTGTAGGCTGTGCCCTAACACAGCCTGTAAACTGCAGGGCAATTTACTTCTGAGAGAAAAAACAATTAGTTCAAACAAAGTCACATCCAGTAGCAATCCATATATGACCATGGATGGTCAAAGAGGCCACGTCCCAGTGGCCTGATTCATCTGGGCACAGCATGAACTGATGTCTTCGATGGTTCTTATTCCCTTGCTGTAGTTAATGAAGTCCCATCAGCTTGCTAGACACAGATATAATTATCATGTTATCAAGTACAAACTATATTCTCATGTGAGTGATAATTTTGTAATGTTCGGGGAATGGTACATTACACCTACCAAAAACTGAGGGGTGGGGAGAGAGAAATACAGACCTGTCACATTTATCCACAATGGGTAAAAGATACCTTTAAAAAATATGGTTCAGTTGAACTATTCATCATTGGTTGTCTCCAAAAACAGCAAATAAGTAAAGTTTATGATTGAGGAAGGAATAAATAGATGTTTCCTAGTTGTTATGCATAAGTGGTGAGAAAAGGAATAAATCATTTGCCCCATCAAGTCTCAAGTCTCCAACCTGACCAAAGTTCAGCAACACCTACACAATGAAATGCATTGGAGCTTGAGCCCTGGAGTTTCCCTTCCAGAGGAATCTGGAAGGAACATTTCTCTGTTGACTGAAGCTCTGCTAGCGAGTTCCACATTCTTGCGTTTTAGTTGAGAAACACATATTTCGGTTCTAAGTGAGTGATGTTTTCAATATTGACATTAATTGCTCCTATGCCTCAAGTGGCTAGCTATTTATACATTTGTATATTTACATTTTTATACTTTGTGTGTCTGGGAGATTGTTACTCATTTGCCAACCCCCTAGAAAAGGTGTAGTCATTCCTTGTTAGGGCTGACTAATAAGAATCACATCTTGGTTTTTGAAAGAACAGCTATGGCTGCCTTTCTCCTTCCAGGAGAGGGAAAGGAATGCTTTTTGAACCAAGACCAATGATTTATATTTTTCATTCATTCTACCAATAGTTGAAAAGTATCTATTGCATGCAGGGCTTTAAGGTGGCTACTATGAGAAACTTATTTACAAAAGCAAATAAAACACTATTGTGCTTTTCACTCTTTTATTCAACTATGGGTTCCCACAGAAAATCTAAATTTGTTTCACACAGTGGTCAAGGAGCCAAGGAATCGGCCTAGATACAAAACTAGTCTGAGGGCAAAAGAAAAAGAGAGAGAGAGAGAGAGCAAGAATTCTTGGGGAAAGAGCTACATAAGCCCTTTGCCTCCAGCTGCCACTGAATATTTTCTGTTCAAATTTTCAAGGTCATAGAAAAAAGAGGATAATTTATGGGTTCCTTGAAATGAGGGAAAGTCCACCCTTGCCAAGAAGATATCCCTACTGGAATTCTGCTAATTGATATATATGGACTTTTTCTTAGAGATTTTGTTGATTCTTCACATGACACATTTTGAAGTTTATCTCTGATAAGCTAGTGAATTAGACAGAATTGGAACCAGAGACTGATTTAACGTGATGCACAGGGAGGGAGACTCTGGCAGGTCATAAGAACAAAATAAACTTAATGTTGGCTATTCTTTTAAGAGATCAAAGGCCTTTGGAAAGATTTAAATATTCCCAGTAGAAGGTCAATAACATATTTTGAGGGTAGTAGGCACTTTGCTGGGGAACAAAAAAAAAAAGCTACTTCTGTCTCGGATCCTTATCTTTTTATATTTTCAAAAAGAGGAGGATTAACATTTTATTTAAATTTTCTAGATATGGAATGTGGATAGAAGACTTAATGTCTACCATGTTAAAAAGAGTAATGTATTTCCTCAAAGAGTCTTTGAAATGTTGGACCCTTACATAGGGAGTATTACCTGCAATAGGCCCCTGGAATGAGGGACACATGCCTCTCTACCAAACCCTTAACTGACTGTATAACTGGAATCCAGTATAGTGAACATTCGTATGTATCTAGATTTCTTTCCTTAATTATTCTTAAGATCTGAGCTCATTCTTTCAATTCCCACCCAGAAGGCTGCCTTAGGCTGATCTGGATAGGTGCAAAAGTGAGCATAAAACCTCACACATGATTTAAAGAGATGATCGAAAGCCTCTTACCCTTGTCTAAAAGAGATCACATAATCAGTGATGTCCTTGGAAGTATACAAGGTTTGAGGAACAGAGAGATACTCCACTCTGCAACCAAAAGTCAGTCCAAATTAGTCTGTCGCCAGATGTTGTATGGGGATATAATGATTTGGATCCTGCAGTCAGTAAAAAAGGTCTTTCAAATGCTATTAGGGTGCCTCCTGGTAGCTTATTAGCACCAAGGACAAAATGGAGAGCTGAGACAATGCGAGAGATTATTTGCTTCTCCTTTAATTTTAATAACCTTGCTTACTATTAATAGTGACCTGCCACCATGTGGCAGTCACTCAGCACATAGTATGTACTTTAATTCTCTTAGCGACACTGTAAGCCAGAGATAATTCATTCCATTTCATAGATGTGGAGAGGGAGGCTTAGTGGCACCCACATGCCCAAGGCCAGGGTATGAACTCATAGGCCTGCCACATGCAGCTGCTTGCTTAACCAGCATTGGCGGTGAAACAGATTTGAACACAAATCTGCTTTACATCAGTGCCCCAGATCTTTCCTCTCCACCATTCTAACTTGACTTAAAGCAGCCTTGAAAGCTGTAATAAATGATCTCAACCTGAAGTCTCTGGGATGACAATCCCAAAGTCTCATTGTAAGCCAATTCTTGTTCACTGTTGCTAAAGAACAGAGAAAATGAAAAGGAAGTTTTCATTGATAGGAACCTTGCTCTGACTGTTGTCCCACCATGACACAGCGGGCTTGATCACTGGAGTGCAATTAATGAAGCACATAATGCAAAAGAAAGTTCTGTGCAAGACTTGCTGTGCACATAGATGTCACCAAGACATTGATGAGTGTCAAATTTCCCTTTTTGAATTGCATCGTTGAAATCATGATGGGCTTTTTTTCCTCAGAAGCTTTTTTTACACTCTTATATAAATACATATCAAAATGTAGGTTTTTCCAACTTTAAGGAATTAGCTTCTTTTTAAAAAATGTTTTATTTATTTCTGAGAGAGAGAGAAAGAGAGAGAGAGAGAGAGAGAGAGAGAGAGCATGAGCAGGGGAGGGTCAGAGAGAGAGGGAGATACAGAATCTGAAACAGGCTCCAGGCTCTGCGCTGGCTGTCAGCACAGAGCCCGACGCAGGGCTCAAACTCACGAATCGTGAGATCATGACCTGAGCCGAAGTCGGACACTTAACTGACTAAGCCACCCAGTCACCCCAGGAATTAGCTTCTTTTTTAAGTTTATTTATTTATTTATTTAGAGAGAGAGAGAAGGGGTGGAGAGGGGCAGAGAGAGAGGGAGAGAGAAATCTCAAACAGGCTCTGCACTGTCAGCCCAGAGCCTGATGTGGGGCTTGAACTCACAAACTGTGAGATCATGACCTGGGCCAAAATCAAGAGTCAGCTGCTTAACCGACTCAGCCACCCAGGCACCCTAGAATTAGCTTCTTTAGTCACTAGAAGTACCTAGAATTTTTCATGTATGTCTTTATACATTATTCTGGAATGTACAGTTCTTCACCCTGTAACTTTATCTCTTTATGAACAGGATATTTTGATAAGGAGCCCCATGTTCCATTCCATAAGACCAACTAAAGAAAATCTAATAATCCCATTAAAGATGAAATATACTTTTGTCTTTTTTGCAATAATAAATAATAAGAGTAACAATAACCAATAGACATTGAGCCTTCTGTGCATCATCTTGCTTAATCCTCTCAAGAAAGACTATGCTTATCATCATGCCCATCTTGTAGGTGAGGATATTGAGTCTGAGGGAGATTTAGTAACTTGCTCAAGGTCAGACAGCTACTAAATGGTTAATGCTGGAATTTGGACCCAATTTCTGACTGCAGAGCCAGGACATACAAGAACTGCCTTGTAGCAAAGGGGTCAGAGAGTGTGCAAAGTCCAGAATTCTGCCCTTCTAAGACATCACACTTAATTGGCTTTGAAAAAGGAATCCATCTAAACTGTAGAAGCTCTGACCCTTCTCCCCCTCGTGATCGTGAGAAGTCAGAGGGCTGTTGAACCAATGTAAAGAATTGGCAGAGGGGTAATTAGGAGGTTCCCGTACAGTGCCTCGGCCCATTGCAAACTGTTGCTGTTCATGTGGCCTGCTGCTTCCTGATTTGTGAAGAATGTCGTTGTTGCCCACAGTTCTAGGGAAGAACAGTCCAATCATCATGGTCTCTTGCTATTATTTAGTGTTAACAACAGTGATGACACAGGATTGGTTTCCTTATGTCAGGTCTCGTTATGGGTAATAGTGGATGTTCTTGCAACCACAAACAATTATTTTGCAATAATGACCCACTCTGGGTCCTCCCAACAGAACAAAAGTTCACCTGGGTCCTTCCTGTATTGCTACAGACACATCACTATTTTGGCCACAGCGCTTTTCTGGAATTGTTTTGCCAGCAGTAAAAAATTCCATGTTAATTGCCATCCTCCATTTTGATTATTTTAGACAGTTAAGGACTTCCTTTAGCCTGATTCCAAACATCTTTTACCTTAAAGCCAGCTTTTCAGATCAGAGAATACCTCTCTTGTATCTGTTGCTACATCCATAATGTCTAAATTCTGTGTCCATTAAGCCCCAAACCTCATCTTTGTAATACATTCTTGTATTTATGTTCTTGATCTGGAGAAAATTGAACTTGTTTGTTTCACCCATTTATTAGATTAGGATACATGTATCTCTCTTGTCTTTCAAGCACAACTTGGTTAGCTAATCTATTTATAACACTTTGAAATGGGACAGTGTATATTTAGGTGTGTACTTCCCTGCAAGAGGAAGTATTTTTAACAGATAATTTGCATGTTGTTTTCTAATTTCAGTTTGCCCCAATCAGGATGTACTAGACACACACTTAATTCAAACACTCTCATGCATTCTGGTAAAGCAGACTGGAATCAGTTCCAACTGCTGGCATTTTTCTTTTTCTGTGTCCAGGTAGATCCAATTCTTTCTGCATAGACTGCACGTGGAACCCTCTTCCATGTCTTTACTGATGCCGTGCAGATGTTATGTTTGCTTCTGCATTGGTTACAGGTGCCATGTACCATTCCCTGCACTAATACATGTATCTGTGTATGTTTCCAGATGCATATAGGGGTCCCATTAATGCTCTGTCATGCAATGGAAAATTGGTATAGCAATAGCTTTATTAGACCAATCACATTCAATGTTGACCATCAACAGAAGTTTCCAAAGGGCTACATTATTAGGAACTTTGCTTCAGATGAGAAGCCCATGATGGCAACCCTATTATATGCGCCCAGCCCTAAAACCTAGATGTGCTTTGATTTCTTCCACTGGGAGTATGCCAGCAGAGCTTTATGATGGCATTATCCCATTAAATGTCTGGGGTTGTGGACATCAGGCTCTAGATAACGTCTTTGGGAAAATCATTAGACTAGTGGGCCCCCTATAAAATTAACCCTACAGTGTAGCCTTCAAGGTTTTATTCAGAACATGAACTCACAAATGTGTCTCTTTGTTTGTTTTTGTTCACTGAGCAGTATATTAATTAACCCTGGAAATCATCTTAAGATCCAAGAAGGTACTTTAGGATTTTTCATCGCAAGTGATGCCAAAGAAGTTAAAAGGTAAGAGTTTGTATTCATCTGCCTTCCTTTCTGGCCCAGCCACAGCCATCTTGATCCACCACGATGGGCATGCCTTCAAAACATATAGGTCCCTAACCTCAAAACTTCTTAACATGTCTGTGGGTATCAGTGGTACTGCATCTTAGGAAAAGGAGACTGTCCTTTCAAATGCTTCCATGAACTCCTCTTCACATAATTGATTCCGCATCTTTCAGCGGGAATAATAACATTTTAGAACGAAGAGGGCCTCGTTAACTGTTGCTTCATTTTCCAAGGAAGGAAAGTGAGTCCCAGAGTGCTGAAGTGATTGTTTAAGATCATCCAGATTCTTGATGACCCAGAACAACATAACACAGGACAACTGGTTCCTTGTCTAGTCCTCTTTACCTAATATCATCCAGGCAAATTTACTCGAGAATTATCAGCTTTCCACTTTAAGTGCCAAATGGAATCTTAAAAGGTTTGGATTAATTTCAGATGAAATACTAAGCTGGCTAGATTTCTGTTTGTGGGGTACTAGGTAAGTAGCTGAGGTTGTCAGTTTTAGTTCTTAAGCCTCTGTAGTTACAACCCACTGTTTCATCGACCTGGATGTTTTAGGACACTTTTATTCATATCCTTAAACCTGTTTAAGCAGCTAGGAATCAGAGGGTTCTTTGGACAACAGCATGGAATATCATTATATTTGATTCTATCCTTGAACTATGAAAAATTTATGAGCAGAAAATATGACTCGAATGGCCAGACAGATCACTCACTCTAACAGTAATGTTACATAAAATATCTTAAAAAGATTATTAATTGTAAAATTCAATAATTACTTATGTAAGCTTATTGTTTTCATTTAATGAGCTCCCACTCAAAGCCAAGCCTGTGTTAGGGTATTCTCCATTCTTAATTGCTAGTCCTCAAAATAACTTCGTAAAGTAAGTCTTATAAAACCCTCAGGGCTTTGGTCTCCTCTTCAGTCAAGTTGAGACAAATGATTTATCCAAGGTTATAAAACACATAAGCAAGTGGCAGTGCCCAGATTGGAACTGCTCTTTCCTTTTCCAAAACCCACACTTTCTACCAAATTTAATAAAACTAGCAAATTCTTGTGTAGAGTTTAATATGTGCCAGCACTGTTCCAAGGACCAGGTACCCCAAGTATTGATGAACTCATTTCATCCTTTCAACAACCTTATGAGATAGGTAGCATTACTATTTCCATTTTACACATGAGGAAACTGGGGTGCAGACTGGTTAACTAGTACCCAAACCGCTACTGCTAGTAGGCAGCAAAGCCAGGATTTAAAACCAGGAAGTTCAGTGCCAGAGCTTACATTCTTATTTGCCATGATGTGAGCCTGGCATGCCGAGCACAGAACTATACTTGATAACTGGTGTTGATTACTTTCTGCCTCTTCACCCACTCCTACAAACTAGCCATACTATTTATGAAAGATTTTAGGGGGGAAAAGGGATGGATAAGCAAAAAAAAACAAAAAAAAAAACACCAAAGACAAAAATTCTTTAAACTGAGCTATCTAATGGCTTAAATTTACTTCTACAAATTGGGAATGAATTGCCATTATATAGATGGGGACAGGAAAACCTTCTCATCCAGTTCATGGATCCTGACTGCTCTTTGGGAGTATCTTGAGAACTGGGTTCACCTGAGAGAGGAGAGGGAGGTGGTGAACAAGACTGAGGTGCCCCCACCCAGATGCCCCTGGAAGAGAAGGCTCTGCTCACATTCAGATGGTGAGACACACAAGCAACACCATGTATGGGGTGGGGGTGCTGGGGAGCACAGTGGCACCATAGATCACGTGTACCTCCTAGATAGCAAATATAACATGAAGCTCCCATTTGTGTAATTCTATTTCCTATTGCATCTCTCGCTAATGAATGTCACAAATACCAGGCAGTCCAAAAAACAAATTACCTTCTGTATTAGGGAGTGCAATATGTCTCATTTCAGTGTTTTATGGTATTCACAAATACATGCTGACACAATCAGCAACAACAGCAGCCTGTAATTTTCCGTGGTGTGTGATGTGTCGGAGCAAATGCTGTCAGTTAGGGGATTTCAAACAGATGAAGACGGCAGAAAACCACAGAAAGGGCCTTGGAGATTTGAATGAAACTAAACAAGTTTTGTAAAAATGGAAAGGTTGATTATGATGATCCAGTATTGAGTGTGCACCCTCTCCTACAAAAAAAAAAAAAAAAACACAAAAGAAGTTAATGAATTTTTAGCTCACAGAAACTTTCAGATGCAATGTTTTAGGAACAGAGCAGTGAAACCATCCATTCCAGCCTTAGGCCACTTTGGGATGGGCATTTTGTCCCTTCTCCACTACTCCTTGCCACTAAGTAGTTTCCTTTTTAAATGACGTTGGCACACAGTCTTTGATGTCAGAAAATGGTGCCTCGTTGACTTGGTTTGGCTTGCCGACAGGCTGATTCACAGTTTTAACAAATGAATTACTGGCCAAGAGGAAAACACCATCATCGTTTATTTAAAAATCCTTATTCCTGGTTTCCTCTGAAAAACTTGCAGATCTGGCATTACTAGGCAGCACTCTCATCCTCATTCATGCATCAAAGGTCTATAGGTTACTCACTTTCTAGAACAGTCTGTACCAGGTAGCAGAGAAGCAGTGGCGAACAATGAAGTCCTTGCTCTAGTGGGCTTATATTCTAGGGAGGAGAGAATTATAGTTTTGTTTATTCATGGTACATTAATCAAAGAATTAATGCAACCAGGTCACTGGTTTAGATTGTGTGCAAGTGAAGGCTGCTCAGAAAGAGTGACATTTGAGCAGAGATGGAGGTGATGGGAAAGAGTGCATCATAACAAAGATTGGGAGAGGAGAGGAGACAAGGTAGGGACAGTTTTGTTGTGTGTAGGATGCTGAAGGAGTAGTATGGGGAGATGAGGTAAGAGAAAAAGGCAGCTGGTTCCTTGATATGTAGGGGTCAGGTTGTTATAAAATGGAGTCATTGATGGCTTTAGGCTGGGGGTGAAGTAGTCTGATTTACATTATTGAAAGGTCTTTCCTCTCCATTATAGAGAATGGGATGTAGGACAACAGTAGAGGGGGGCCCACAGACAGGCATATTGCACAGTGTAGGTGAAGATAAGCTTGGGTAAAGCTGGTGAGCGGAGGTGCAGAAAAGGGAGACCAATTCAGAATATACTTTAGAGAGTCTATAGGACCCACTGGTCAACTGCATATAAGAAGTGAGGGGGGAAAAAAGAGGAATCAAGAATGGACCCTGGATCTGGAGCCTATGCAATTGGGTGGGTGCTGGCTTCCCACCTTACTGAGACTGGATTTAGCTGGAAGAGAAGCAAGTTTGAGATGTAGGAAATTAAGAATTCTATTTAGCTATGTTAGTAGGAGATATCATAAAAGCAATTGGAATCTTGATTCTGGAGTTTGGGGGAAAGATGAGGGCTGGAGATGTCATTTTGAGTGCTGTATCAGGGAGGGTCCTGGCCACACCTAAATGGGGAAAGGGAGAAGAATTTTATGAAGGGACCATATAAAGTTGTGGGCAGAAAGTTAAGGAGAACCAATAAGGGATGGAAAAACTCCCCAGAGCTAGCAACAGAAAGGAGCCACTCTCAGCCCTAGATCTGCAGAATCAAGGGGAAGGAGAGTTATCAGAACCTGGAGAGAGAGGCTATAGGAAAGGCCACTTGGCAGGGGCTGAGTCCTCTGTAATACAGAGATGTGGCTACCACCACTTCATGACCCTCCAGGGAGGAATTTCTTTCTTCCCACCCTCCAGTCTCCAGCTGGCTCCTCCCATTGGCTGAACACAACAGGAAACCAGAGGACAAGGAGACCCTAAAGACCAGCCTTGCAGGGTGTGGATCCGGTCTTCTTGATGATGTGTGTGTCAAGGTCACCAGCGGGGGGCTGCTTGGGGAAGGGGTGGAGTGAGCAGGAGAGGAAGTGGGGAGGAGAGCAGAGAGGATTGAGGTGGAAGGAGGGGATATGCAGTAGGTCCTGAGGGGTGTGAAGAGCCCCTGGCATCTGTGGCCATGGGTTTGAAGTGATAGTACACTTGTGTTTCCTTTTCTCGGTTCAGCTGCTCAGGCGCAGATGTGCAGTAGGGTGGGTGCTTTGCCAAGTGAGTGTGAGAGAGGCAGATGTGGGTAGAGAAGACAATTGTGCTCTCAAAGAAGTGCCACTTGGCAAAACTCAGCTGGAGCTTAGATATGGCGCTCCATCTGGTTGGGGGATGTGTCTCCAGGTCACAGACCAGAGACCAACCCTCCCCCCCAACCTGGCCCCATCTCAGTCATTAGCTTTACCTGTATGGCCCCTGTTGGGCCACTTCCCAAATCCAGCTTTAATTCATGAAGTAATCTACTTTATCTTCTCAACAGTCCACTGAGACTCAGCATGGTTTCATCACCTCAGCAGTAGAGATGTGTTTAAGACTGTGGACATTGGGACTAGACTGTGTGGACTTGAATCCTGGCTCTGTGTGTCCTTGGGGAGGTCACATAACCTCCCTGTGCTTCAGTTTCCTTATCTGTAAAACAGATAATAATCAAGACTCCTTCAAAGGATTGTTTAAGGATCCATTTCATTGATACTTATGCTTAGAATAGTGCTTGGCCTATAGTCTCTCCCTACAAATGTCTGTTATTATTGTTATCATTATTATTATGAGTAGGAGCATCAGATGGGAGAAGAAAATGGCCAAAGGAAGTGGAAACAAAATGGCTTCTTCCTTTCCTGTCTTTCCCCTTTCAAGGCAGGTCACCATTGATTGGCTTCTTAGCTGCATTGCCACTTGCAGGCCAAACAATCAGCTGCCTTTTTCTTTCTTCCTTTTTTTGCAATATGGATGAAAATTGGCATTTAAAGAAATAGTGAATGAGCTGCTGGGGTGGAAAGAGCACTGGGCTTGGATTTAGAAGTTTGCCAAGCCCAACACAGAATGCCTTTGGACAGGTTGTGACAACCTCCTCAATTTACAGATGAGGACATTGAGTCTTGGGGACCTCCGAGATCTCTTCCAGATCCCGAAGTCTTACATTGGTTTCCAAACAGTGTCAATCACATGTGCAAGTCCTTTGAAAAACATCAAAAGGAACCTGGGAATTGAATGGCCAAGAATTGTGTTTCTTCCTTTGTAGTCTTGGCCAAGGGAAGACCATGTTTATCCCTGCCGTTCAATTTCATGTTGGGAGTGGTGAAGCCAGGGACTTTGTTAGCTCCCATATCTGGAAGCTTGTTAGGCTGTTCCAGTGAATTTTATCCCAGTAATCCCTCCCATCCTGAAAAGATGCAGGCCTCCAGTTCTGTTCTTCTAGGTCCTATGCATTCTATACTTGAATGATCTTGGTTTGTCTCTTGTTTTGACACAACCAATGTGCTTTGTTATCACAAGTTGACATGTAAGTGAGATGAGGGGATTTTCTTGTTGATTGCTTCCTCAGGGTACCCAACCCTATAGTGCCTTCTGCCCACCCCATTCCAGTGCTCAGCTGAGCTATGCTTCACCGTGAGAAGCAAACCTCCATTTATTAACGTGTTCTTGGGGCTGGAGAGTATGAGTTGGTCCTTTCAGCTTGGGAGCAAATATGGACTATGAAATACCAGAAGAAATTTGACAGAGGACCCCCTTGACCCATCACTTTTATATTTCCCCCTCCACACCTTCCTCCTTAACCTCTCTCATTTTGAAAGGAAATGTCCTTTCAGGGGTGCATGGCTAATGATTTTATTGGACTGTGGAACTTTATCTTGGCACCCCTTTCAATAAATATCTGACCAGACAGTGAGGGTTTTGGAGATGGATGCCACTTCCCCACCAAGTGCCTGGGGCTGATTGCCTATGTGCTTTGATGAGCAGCCCTGAAGGCTGTGCTCAAAACTGAAGGACGAGCAAGCAGATGCAGGGGATCACCTCAGCAGCCATTCACCCCATTCCTTTTCAAAGGAAAGTTTATTAAAAGAAGCACGAACTCCAATTGCAGAGCCCTGTGTTTGAAATAAGAGGTCTTGCAACAAACATTTCCGTCTGTAAATGTCTAAACCTTTCCAAAGATTAAAGGAAATTAGTGCTGGCGTGTTTCATTAATTTGGCACCACAGTGGAGGAAATGTGGTATTCATTTCATTCGGGTGGATTATGAAACGTGTCAGTTTTTCCATTCTCTTTCTCCAGGGCATTTTTTTACTGCAAGGCCTGTCATGATGACATCACAGATCCCAAAAGAATAAAAAAATGTGGCTGCAAACGGCGTAAGTAGTGTTTCTTTCCCCCTTCCCTCCCTCTTTCCTTTTCCCCAAATTTGTTTCCCTTCTCCTTTCCCTATTAAAGAAACACTAAACATCAAGAGGTTTCTTGGACATGTTTATGTTTCGCCCATCAGCTTAAAGAGACATGGAATAAATACCTGTCCTCGCTTTGTTAGAGCAAGGATGAAAAATCACCACCATCAACACCTTTGAGTGAACCTAGTACCTAATCCCCACCTCGGGACCTTAAAGGGTTGCTGAGGTGCTTGTGTCCACTTGAACATAGTCAGTATGGTATATGAGAATGAGGACTGCTAAGACCATGGAAGAGGGAGTATTTTTTGCGTAGTGATTTCCAGTGATTTACACTTGGGGACCACCAAGTGTAAAGGTGGGTACTAAAGGGAAACTGAGTTTGAGGACTCTGTCTCCCAAATGGGAGCTGCTGCAAGGTTCGACACCAAAGTCCAAAGTTTTCATTTGTGGTACCCTCAAACTAGCCCAGGAAGAGAATTTGACCATGACCAATCAGCTTTGTTTGCCATTGCTCCAATAACCAACCTCAAACACCATTGCTCCTTGGGGTAGACTAGATTGGTCTTAGTAGCTTCTGGCATATCCTGTCTCAAATATCTTCCAAAGCAGTATGTCAGTGTGACTTCTTGAGAAAGATATGGTACATCAGGAATACTGGGGTCATGAACTCCCCAGAAACCAGTACCTAAAGGAGACTTGCCTCGAGAAGGCCATGCTTTTTGCAGTAATCATGTTGCATTGCCTAGTAGAAATTGTTCATGGCCATAAAGAAAACAATAATAATGATGCCTTCCTTCCTATGGTGAGTTAATGTTTTCAGAGCTCCTTATTTATGATAATTATTTTCTTTGATCCTCACCATAACCCTGGGTAATTGGCAGGGGCTGTTATTAATTCCATTTTACAAAAAGAGGAAACTAAGGCTCCAAGTTTAGTGGGAAGATGAGATTGCTAAGAGTCACACTGACCCATAGACCAGGGCTCAGGATCACACAAAGGCCTGTCTATGCTGTGCACTCAGTGCCCTAATCATATTTGAGACAGAGAAGGGCAAGGCAATGACCTTGGCTGAGTAGAAGCATAGTTATGAAAGATCGCCCCATAAAATACTTTGTCACAAGCAGAAACCAGATAGAAGAGCACTATTCCTGGGATACGCCAACCAAAGCAAGGGCTTTTTTCACTGCACTCCTAACGGGGACACAGTAATGTAATCCAGTAAGATATAAATATCATTCTGCTGGAGCAGAGACACCCGAGCTCTTAGGCAAATGCCCATGGGAACACTCTTGGTCGAGAGCAGATTCTGTAGAAATCCTCTGCGGCTGGTTCCTAATTTGAGGGCAGCTGAGGCCCACTGTTTTGCTTTCTCCACTGATTCTACCAACACACATGGCTTTGTACCCCTTAGCTCTGACACCTTACTAAGATGAGTATTTATTAACGTCTCAGAGAAGAGACCCAGACAAAGGTCTAGAGGTCTAAGAATTCTCTGATTCCGACAATTTAACAGGAAGAGCATCTAATGATGTGTAAGGTCCAGAACAAACCCACCTGACTTCCAATCCCCTGGATTCCATGACACCAAAGGCCCTCCTTACCAGGCCATGCACCCCAGCGTGGTTGGCGTGGTTGGCTGTGAACACAGAAACACAGCTCAGCTGACCAGGCATCCTTCAGGTTTTTTTTCCATCAGAGGAAGACAGTATCTCAAGGTGGAAGTAAACAGGAGCTACAAACACAAAATGGTTAACTCCGTTGTAAGGAAACTTTTGTAGTAGAGGGGTTTGGGAATGCAGGAGAGTGTCAAGGCCAATACTCCACGACCAGATAATCTGCCAAAGAACCTGGTCCCATGGGGTGTCACTGAAAGTTACTTATTGATTAGACATCCACGTACTTTTGAGTACTTTCTTTGTGCCAGGTGCATGCTTGGTGCCAGGGATGTAGGGATGAACAAGATAACATCACTGTTCTTCTGAACCCTTTACACTAGTAAATGGATCATAGAAACCATTAAATAAGTTCAGGTAGAGCCAAATGCTTGAAGAGAGAGGAGACTGCTTGAGGATATGGGGAATCTTGTAGGGCTGCTGCTTTAGCCTGAAAGCCTTCCTTGGGAGGTAACATTGAAGCTGAGACCCTGTCCAGGTTGGTAGAAGAGCAAGGGCAAAGGTCCAGAGGCAAAGAATAAGTTTAAAGTGTTGGAAGGCAGGAAGGCAGGCAGGCAGGCAGGCAGGCAGGCAGGAAGGAAGGAAGGAAGGAGGGAGGGAGGGAGGGAGGAAAGAAGGCAAGCCAGTGGGGCTGGTGGGGCTGGGGAGAGAGCCGAATGAGATGAGTTCAGAGAGGAAGACAGAGGCCATGACAAGAAACCTGGGTTTTAGTCCTATAACAGATACAGCCGTTGGGAGATTTTGAGCAAGAACACATCATCAATTTCTATGAGATGACTTCCATGCTGACTGGATAGAGAATAGACTCTAAGAAGGCGAGGGTAGAAGGCAGACTGATGGAGAGAAAGTGTCTCTGATCCCTGCTCTGATGCTGGAATGTTCCTTGTAGGCATTGTAGTAGAATTCAGCAAAATTTCTTTAAGTCCCTAGAAATGAGGATTTGGCCTCTAGGCTATTTTTCCACCCTGGCTCCAGGCAAGGACACAGCAGCTGACTTTAAACTTCATCCTGCAGAGAGAGCCACAAACTGTTTGAAATAATTTTATTCTCTTCATTCCCCTTAAAGCTGGCTCAGCTAGTGAAGGGTCTGATCTCTCACCATGCATGGCATGGATTGCTGCAGAAGTACCGCCTCTCAGAGCTGAGCCATCGTGACAGGGGTCTTGCCCCTGTCGCTCCGTACCCCCTTCCCTCTTGGGCTCATCTCATAGAGGTGCCTGGCTGTGAGGTTAATGTTTGATAACAGTCAAAATTGTCCAAATATTGTTCTTCCTAATTAAAAGGCCACAGCAGCCTGTGTTACAGAGGGCAGGATGCAGATGTGTATGTGTAAGGAGTGGTCAGAGTAAAGTGACTTACTGAACGTGGACCTCCCCATGCATACCAGGCAAGTCAGGAAATTGGGGAAAATATGTTTTGGTTGCAAATAAACTTTTTCAAGAGAAGCAGCTAGGATTGTGAATAATGCATCGGGGGTGGGGGTGGGGTGGGGTTGGTTCCTGTGCCTTTGAATGCACATTGCCTGGTACCCCAAGTCAGAGAGGGCAGATCACCTGCACAGTCATTTGTCCAAACCTGTCAGGCCAGGTGTTCGTAATTCATCCTGGAAGGATACATCTCCATGAGGGCAGAGCTGATGACAATCAGTGGTCTTTATCCACAGCTTCCGAACCCTCCCCTCCCAACCTGGCTCTTCCCCTCCCATCCCCACCCCTACCCTCCCCATTCACCTTAAACATTTCATGCCATACTGTCTGGAGCAATCTGGAGTGTGGGCATTCCATCTGGAAATCCTGTGGTAGTATAGTTTAACTTTTGCATTTCTTTCCATTTCTTCATAGCATTCCATCAAGGAAGAGAGTCAAATTCAGCTGTCTGGCCAAGGAGCGAGCTCCCAGAAACTACTATTTACCCATTTTCTTCTTCTGTATAACAAACTTGGTCTAATGATTTACATTTTTTCCCCCAGCCTGTAAAAGTTTGCCAAAGGGTGGACTCCTAGGGGACAAGTCATGTCTGAATTGATGTGTTTGAAGGAATTTTCTTGAACTTCTAATCATTGACGTATTTTTGATTTATTTTTTTTCCTCTTTGCTGCCTTGGAATACGGCCCCTACTCTATTTTAACTGCACACTGGTAGTGATATATTGTGAGTAAAACGGGTTCCCAGTAGCCCGGAGTCCAGTTCCCCCTGTCTTTCTCTAGAAGAGATACTTCTTTTATTTTCTGTACAGTTTCAGTTTCTTTTTTTCTTTTGATATTTATGTTGCATGTAGCAGTGACATCATGCCCCAACTCCCTCATCCAACACGGTCTGCAGAGTAGCCTGGAGCTGGAGACCCCTGAGAGCAGGGAGCCACCCTCTGTTCATCTTCCCATCCCCCAGCCTCTTGCCAGCTTCTGGCGCTGTCTTATTTTTCCATTTGAAAATAAGACCTCGACAACAGTGTTTCTCTCGAAGGCCTTGTCTCGGGACCTTTAGGGGACGCTGAGTAGGCTGAGGTAACTACCACTAGAGCTGTAGATGCCTCGTCAATTGGGGGTCATTGTCATGCTTGCCTTTGATAAATTTCACCTGGTCTCTGCTATTGAGCCTGAATTCCTATCCTGAAGGAAACACACATGCTACATATATATTCCTGTGTTGTGATATATATATGATATGTACCAGTACTTTATATGTAAAAATGAACATTTTTATATATAAGCACAGAGATATTTTATAGAGAGAGTGATGTATTTATTATAATATATGTACCTCTCTATATGAGATAGTGCTTGCTCAGGACTTCATTGGACATCAAACTTTGGGATTAAGTATCTTAAACTGCCTTACTGGAGACAAGTATTTCCCTAGTGGTAATTATTTCCTACAGTCTATGAAGTTCCCTTGCTTTAAAGTTTCTCTTTAAATCAGTACCCACCAGGACACACCCAGTTCTTCTGTGGGTGTTAGTCAGGCATCTTGGAAGATCCATTGACTTATTTAAGATGGAGAAGATGGCTCAAGGAGAATGTTCCATTTCATTAAGGAGCTAGGTAGAAGTCTGAACAAGTAAATGTTAAGTCTCTGAGCCTCTAAACTTACTCACAGAATAGGACCTCTCTCACCCACAAGAGGTGGCAATTTTAGGGCCAGTGTTTCTGTGTGTGACTCAGAGCAATGCTGCATTCAGTGGCACCAGCAGTGAGCATTGCTGGGTCTTTACACGTCTTCATGAGACTCTACTGAAAACAGGACCCAGCCTGCAGACCAATTGAATCCAATGGTCTTGGAATTTGGAGATGTCTCT